CATCAAGTGTACTCCTGCTCACCATGACCCTATAGAACAAGGCAGAATGGCCCCTGTGGGTTTTCAAGACTGTAACTCTTGGCCAGAGGAGAAAGCCTCCTCTTTCCCCGTTGGAGTAGCTGGGTTTTGAACTGCTGACCTTCAGTTTAACAGCCCACGGTGTAACCACTCCATCACCAGGGCTCCTGCCAGGTGTCTCAGGGAGGCATGACAACAAGTGTTAAAATAAAGCAAGGACAAGGTGGCCCCCAGCGAAGGGCTGTGTGCTAGGTAAACTAAGGCCAGACTGCCCACCTTTCATGGCTGCGCTTTTATAAAACACAGCCTTTCCTTCTGTTCCTTCAAACAATGTACAAAAGCCATGAGGGAAGGAAGTGATGTTGCAATATTTTTGAAACATAAATCTTGCTACCAGTCCGTCCAGGAACAGCATCCTGTTTCCCTTGCACCTGGATTCTATGTACTGCAGCCTGCACTTCTAGGCCTGACACCCGATTTGGAGACAGAATCACCCCCAGCCACCTACAGGGACACATCCAAACACAGCATGTGCGCCTAGACCCTCCCTTGTAGGCCCAGTTACTCAACCAGCATGTACAATTGCATGTTGGCACCCTTTCCCTTCCACTTGTGAGGTTACGTGTTCCCAAACTATGACTCTCCACTCCATTCCTTCTGGCTTTGAATTAATCCACAAATGCAATTTGCACTGGGATGCAGGGGATGCAGAGAAAGGAGAAATGCCTATATTTCACCTTTTGGGTTTGCCTCTTCCCTTTCTGCTGAACTACCAGCACACAGGTGAGTCCACGGGGGTACAGCTGACCCACGCTCACTGCCGACCGAAGGGTTCAAAGCTGCCATCCAACTGGGTTGGTGCCACAGAATACAGACCTGGCAACCTACCGCTGGAAAACCAGCCACTAAAAACCCCACGGAGCACAGTTCCGTTCTGAAACACCAGGGGTCACCGTGTCAGAACTGACAGGACTGCCACCCACATGTGGATATGAACACCCCTACTCTGGTTAGAATTCAGAAACCTTACTGGCCATGTCCAACGGCTTGCTACTACAACCAGGAACAAACTGATGTTATGACTCGGCTTCTTCCTTCATGCTGGGAGTCTGGGAGAGGTCATACTAGGGATTGGCAGATGGGGGGCTGGCAGACGTTGTGTCTGTTTGGCTTGCCTGAAGGACACAGCCTTCCCAAACTGAATGAGGCAGGGCTACCAGAACTGGAAAAGAGATAGCACAGGTGAAAGTCCACAGTGAGAGATTTAAAGGCACAAGGCCCTGGGAAACATCTACAGGGAAATATCGGCATGGTGGCAATCACACAGAACCCCGGCCGGCCGCACCAGGGTTCCTTTGGGCTGCCTATCACCTTTCTGCAAGGGGGAAGGAGCCCTATATTCAGAATTCCACCGGAGTTCGCAGCACCTTCCCTTTCCTGGTGTAGGGAGAAATGTCTGCCTTTGACTCTAGGGGGCAGCGAGGAAAGGCCTCGCTATTTCCCATGTTGCTGTTCAGGGCAGCATTGCCACATCTGACCTTACCCTTGGCCTAGACAAAGAAGAATGGGCTCTGTGACGTCAGAGAAAACTGGGATGGGGAGTTATCCAAACAGTCCCTCTTGCTCTCTGGCACTGGAAGGCCACCCAACATCTCTAGGGTGCAGCCCGGAGCAGCTGGGTCATTTTACGACTTGTGAGTCTTTGCATCCTGTATCTTAGGAAATACTCTCTAGAAACGTGGCCGAGTCACAGTGTGCACTGGACACGGGGTTCCCGTGATTGTTTTCTTTTAAATACAGCGTTTCTCAACCTCTGTACACTTGGCCTTTGGGGCTGGATAATGCTTTGGGGGAAGCAGGCGGCGGATCTCCTGGGCATAATGCGATCTTGAGGGGCCACTGTCGCTAGGTTCCTACTCACCATATACAGTGAACCCTCGCCACTTCGCGCTTCGACTTCCGCGGCTTCGCTCTATTGCGGTTTTTGCGTAACAGCGCATGCTCTGTCATTACTGCCACTGATTGGCTCATACTGTACACGCTTGATGCCATAAATAATATAATAAATAATAAATGATAATTGTAACGTCCAAAATGTTTTACTGTATTTTCCCTTTTTCGTTTAATAAATTGGGTAATACGAGTGTAATGGTGACTAAAGGGTGTTTTTTCATGTCCTCTATGCTCTAACTCCGAAAATATTTGATTTACAAATAAGGAATCCTACTTCGTGGAATTTCATTTATCATGGTAGGGTCTAGAACCGATTAACCGCGATAAATGAGGGTTCACTGTACCACTAATATGTTCTCCCCAATGGCCACAATCATAGATGTCTCCAGATATGTATTACATGTTCCCCCAGGAGACACCACTGGCTGGGGTTTGAAAAGAAACCCTGGGGGTGAAACAAATCTTGTATTTTTTAAGTGTGTCTCAAAAACCTCATGGAAACTGAGTCGATGCTGCCTCACAGTGACCCTATAGGACAGGCCGCAATGGCTCCTGTGGGTTCCTGATGCGGTAACTGTTCAGGGGAATAGAAATAGAACAGTCCTTGGTGGTTTTGAACTGCTCACCTTGCGGTGAGCAGCCCAAGACATTACCTTATAGAATATTGTATACAGGGGGTGGGGTGGGGCAAAAAGGATGGCATTGTGTCTGTCTATTAGGCCTCTAGAGACAAAACCAGGCACTGAACCAAGTGGCCTGCCTGAAGGTGTAAACATGAAGTTTTACAAAAACTCTCCACACGGAACACGGGCACAAAAGAAAGGGCAGAGAGCAGCACACCCACCTTTTATTAAAGCAGCACACCCACCTTTCAACTGTTCCTCACTTACAAATTGCACAGCATTCGCCCGATACAAAATAGACGATTTGTGATAAGAGATCTAGAGAGATGAACCTTTTTTTTTAAGTACTGTTTATTTAATGCAGCATGACTTAAAATACGCCTGTAACCTGACAAGATTCCAGAATGAGGAATGTTCAATTTACCAGTTCTAACCAGCCACGTCCTCACATGAACTTTCTCAGACAGGGCGAGAAGCCTGGGAAAGTAGACCTAACCAAAGGCCTTCAAGGTTTCCTCCTCCTGACTCCTTTTCTCAGCTCCGACTTCATGGCGAGAAGCGTTCTTCTAAGACCCAGCTCACCCTTCAGGCTTCTTCTAAGGTCTTAGCCGTCGGGCCGACAGAGCCTAAGGCCACCTCAAGCTCACGGCTGGCCTGGCTTCCAGGCTCGCCAACAGTAAAAGGAAAGATTCAGTTCTATTTTTAAACGGATTCAGGCGAGAGGCAGCTTGATAGGTCTTTGTCCAGGATGGCTGTCACCCAAAGTCACTGGTACCCTCCCTCCCTGTCCTACTGATAGAGCCTGTGGCACCAGGGCGTTTTGGGTTCAAGCTCAGCTCCGCCACTTGTCAATGATGGGGGTAGGGACTCGGAGGGGACTCTGAAGGGGGCAATCACTCGAGTCCCCTCAGAGACTCAGTGTCTCCGTATGCAAAATGGGACGGATGACAATCCTGCCGAGTTTCAAGAACAGTGCCTACTTATACCAAATCACAGCCACTGCCTCACATGAACCCCAGCTCACAGAGCCCCAGCAGGGCAGTGTTTCTGAGACAGTACATTTTTGCAAGAGCAGCCTCATCTTTAGCCCTCTGAGTGGCTGACTGGTTTGAACTGCCGATTTACTGATGAACAGGTCAACACTTAACCTGCTTCACCACCAGCGCCGCTTTTCCATGCCAAACAATAGATGGCGGGTTCTTTGTTTTGTTTTTCATTATTCCTATTATTGTCTTGGTTGAGACTACCAGTGCTCATCATTTACTCTCTGTTCACTTCACAGACCTTATTTAGCCAGCACCTTCTACCTGCTGACTGCCCGAAGAAAATAAATAGTATAAAACTACATCTCTCCATGACCCAGGGTTTCAAAGAGTAATAGAGAATATGAAAAAGAAAAACACTGTCCTTGTTGGTGATAAGAAACACATTTAAAGTAGCTGGCGCTTAGTGGTGGTGACACCAGTGTATCTAACTTCTATTGCATTCGCTCCTGGGGGACACCTTACATGCTGACCCTTGCAAAGGAGCATCTGCCTTCAATTAAATGAGTCCTGGTCTAGGAAGAAGAAGCTCTTTTCTAAAGTAACACTTTCACAGGGGTATATCAACATGCGTCATGATAGGGTAGGATTCTAAAAAGAGGCTGCAGTCCGGGGGGCAATTCTCACCGTTGAAAGTCAGTGAGTTTTGACTCCAAGAAAACAGGGAATTAGTTCTGACATTACCGAGACATCAGAAGTAGGTGTCAAACATGTATCATGACTCCTAAGAATCGTAATACTAATAACTGCTCACCTTTGTAAAGCCAATCAAGGTAAACCTCGAGCTCAGAGCATGAAAATACATAGACTCTCTTACATTAATTATTGTTACTCACTAGGTCCTGCCCTTTCTCTGTGGGAAATCAAAAAGCCAAACAAAAACATAAAAAGTAAACAAAACAAACTCACTGCCATCGAGGCGATGCCAACTCATCTCGACCCGGTAGGACGGGCTAGAAGTGCCCCTGTGAGTTTCTGACACTGTAGCTCTTCACGGGAATGAAAAGCCCCATCTTTCTCCCATGGAGCGGTGGGTGGTTTCGAACTGCGTACCTGGCAATGAACAGCCCAACTCGTGACCACGGTGCCATCACAGTAGGTCTGGACTTTGTTTTTCCTTTATCACCCATTCTTTCATAACCTCTCAGCATTTCAGCCCACTTTCATGCGCTCTGGGCTTGGTCCTCTTTTCCCCCCAAACCCAGCTTTTCCGCACAACAAAGTCATCTCCCTCCAACGTGAATGTCTTTTGCTGACAGCAAAGTGACAGAACCCTGCGCTTTCAGGCCAATGGTCACGCGAGTTCCTGGTGAACCAAGGCAAGTTCAATGAGACACCGAATCCCACCAAGGCGCGGGCTTACCTCGAATATATTCGAAGGCTCATTGTTGTACTGGTTGGAAATGATTTCCGATTGGTCACTACACCACTTGAGTCCACCGAGAAAGCTGTCTGTATCCAAGTCGTTCACGTCTAGTTCAGAAAGGTCAAGTTCAGGAAGATCTGGGCAAAGAGGCTGGTCTTCACCAACCAGGGCAGCACACTGCAGGGGCGCAGGGGAAAAGAAAAGAAGGCAGAGACCACGTTCAGCCGCCACAGGAATTCATTCAATGGAGGTAACTCGTGCTGGGAATCGAGCCTGGGCTCACTGGACAACATCACCAAAGCTGGTCTCCTGGACTTGAATCACCAGGGAAAAGATCTGAAATTCATCAGCCCATTACCTACCCCTAAAGGATACTTTGCCTGAAATATCTCACCCCACATTCTACTTTCAGATTCGTGGCCAAAATACACAGAGCCGTGAGATCTTCTCTGTGATAAGCAATGAGCTGGATCCGTGGGCACCTCTCTGGTGGCAGTCACCATCTTTTAAAAGGTTGTCTGCTGCACCTTAGGCAGATCTTTACCCTCCCAGGATAATCCCATCCAGGGCAGGATACCAGTTTGATTCTACGCTGGGATTGCCACCAGACACGATAAGGCACTCAATCAACCTCTGCCAGATGAAAAAGAAAATGTAGGACGATCCTAGGCAAACGTTCTCTACTTTGGCTCCTTTTAACCATTATGATGTGTATAATTCATTTAGCAACTAATGGTGCAAAGTCCTTAGACTCATTTAGGGTTCTTGGATTGTTATTTAAATCATTTACTCTTATTTGACTTTTCATTTCTGGACTTCATCCCTAATAAGTCAAAAGCAAGCTCCTTGAATTGAAGGACAAAAAAAGCATGTTTTCTTACATGATCTTTAATATCCTCGGCTGTGTGCAACTTACAAGTCGTGTATTGAGGGGTGTGTATGTGGGAGAGAGAGATGGCAAATAGAAACAGAGAGAGAGAGGTGGATACGGATTAATTGGTATCACTTGGTTCCAGGAAAGAAAAAGGAAAAAAAAAAAACCACACATTATCACACACTACCACTCTACTTTGTCTCTCCCTCTCCTCTCTGAGAATTTAAAAACATAAGTACTTTTTGTTACACTTTTCAATAATGTCAATTATTAAGACTCAATTGTCACCAGGTCAGTCCCAAGACCTGACAAACACCTGTGTGTCACAGCAGAACTCTGCTCCTCGGGATTTTCAAAGGCTGCCTGTTCAGAATCAGATCGCCACATCTGTCTTCCAAGGGTGCTCGGGGTGAACTCGAACTTCCAACTCTTGGGTTCACAGCTCACTGGGTTACCCATTTGCACCAAGCAGGCCTCTATCAGTATATTCAGATGCTTAAATGCCTGGTAGAGTGAGTCCTTCATTTCCTGGAGTGGAGCAGTCTTTATCTATGGACTCGCCCCCTCGGCCCCCCCGCCCCCTCCCAGTGAAGGTGGTCTCCTGCACTTGAACTGGCTACATTCACTTCCGGCTGCTCACTGCAGCCACTAGGCATGAGGTGAAGAAGCCTGCAGAAACTTCCATCGCAGGGGGCTGGCGATGTCTGCGCAGTACGGGCCTCCTCCACCTGCAGTCCCGAGGTGTCCTTATCAGCAGGCACGCTGAAAAGGCACCCTCCTGGCTCTCCCCTCCAAGGTCAGGCACGCCACTGCGCCCATGTTCACATCCAGGCAGCAGCTTGGCAGAAGGCTGAAGATCCTCCTTGACATTTAGATTTGGAATAAAATAAGTTTTATGCAGATTTTTCCCTGCTTTTTTTCTCAAGCCCCCTGTCATCGCTGGCAGGCGACATTACACAGGTCATATGCAGCAGGCTGAGCAGAAGCCATATGCTAAGCTCTAGGTACTGGGTAAGGGAGTAAGCGGTTGGCAAAGGTGCAGGGGGTGGGAGTCGGGGATGGGGTGAGCAGGAACATGACTGTGGTCCTTCCCTGAGACCACCACACACACACACCCCAGGAAGGTCCCAAACACCAGGCAGCCCTCTCAACCTGCACCCAATCCTTATCCTTCCGTTAGTCTTTCCATTTTATTATCCGAGTTAGCACCAAGTTACAGATCAGTGCCCATGGCTAGGTTTGCAGGCGAGTGGAGGCTGGGCTGAGAAGGGGTTTGTCCTGGCACAGTGCCGGCATTTGGTGTTAGGTGAAACTTCGCGGGCACCAAGTCTGCCTGCAGGGCTCCTCCTCTGGGTCAGACACACTCAGAGGAAAGACATACACCCGTGGACTCTTCCACAATTGATTCATAGTCAAGGGGATAGCCCTTTCAATGGTGCAAACGAATACTCAGGATTTATGGGGGGAATCGTCTTCTTAAAAGCACACACACCAAACTCATTCCCATTGAGTGGATTCTACCGAGCACAGTAGCCATGCCCCGGTGGGTGTCAGAGACGGAAACTCTTTACAGAAGTAAAACCCTCATCTTTCCACCCCACCCCAGGAGCAGCTGGTGGTTTCGAACTGCTAATCGCATGGTCAGCAAGCCAGGCCATCAGACGCTTGGTCACCAGGTCTCCCAATACATAGACAGCAATAACAACAAAAAGTCAGCAGCAAGAAATGAATAGAAGCTGGAAATGCTGATCCTTTCCATCAGGCTTAAGTTCCTTTTGCAGAGAGCGTCATTTAGACAAGGTGTTTTAGAAAGCTGAGTGCCACCCAAGGGGGGATGGTGAACTTAACTACTTCTTTGTCTCAACAGCTCAAAGCGTGGCTTGGGCAAGGCCCTTTGAACTTCCAGGATTCTATATCTATAAAATAACTCTTTGAAACCATTGAGAAGCCCTGATTAACTTCTTGGCTTTGGCTGTCCCGTAGTGGGTGGAATTTGTTCCTTGTTCTCTCTTTTCCTTCTCTTCCCTTCCCTGCTTTCCTCCCCTCCTTCCCTCCGCCCTTCCTTCAGTCTTCCTTTCGGCTTTGTTTTGGCTTTTATGTTATGGTTGAACTCAAGTGCATGGGATCTTGCCAGTGTTGACACACTCATAAAACCAGTGTCTCTGAGTGTGGCATTATCCTGCTAATCTAAAGCACATTTGTAGTAGCAAGTGTTCCTGTTATTAATTTATATTTGGCCTTTGGAGGATGCCAGACTCAACAGTCTGAGCCCCGTATCTGTCCCCATCTGACGTGCTGATGTTTACTGCTTCCCTCCACATCTGTAACAGGTGGGCTCTCGGCACTAGAGAGACACATTCGCCTGCCTCCTTGCCGGCATGGCACGCATTCCACAACCAACCTTCGCCTTAAATTTACAATAAGATTTAAGAGGATAAAGCCATCACTAAACACAAAAGGCTAATTATTGAACGTGATTTCACCCCAACAGACTTTTCTCTTCGTTAACGAGCAGACAATAAATTAGCTTAACTGCACTGATGATAATGAATCATTATAATTAAGGATAATTCTCCATTAACCTTTTGGAGGTTTTGGTGCCACTGATGGTAAATCTGAGAGAGAGCGAAAGAGAAAGAGAGAGAGAGAGAGCCATATTAATTATGTCAATGAAAAGAAGAATCTTTACTTCTTCCTTAAAAAAGTCAGAACAGAGGGGTGGGCAGTAAAGAGTGACAGATTCTTAGTGGTATGTATGTCATGTGAATTGTCTCTATCAATCTTCGTAACCTTATTGTACATCATCTTCATTAAACTGTGAAGCACTGGGGACCCAGTGTAGCTAGAGCGATCTAGACCTTTATTAACCAATGTGCCGTCCTGTCATGATGTGCAAAAGGGCAGAGGACGTTTTAGGATGACAGCGAGCATTAATGATTCAAAAACGGAAGGCCGCCTAAGCTAAGCTACCTGCTGCTCGTTCATCTTTCAGCCCTTGCGGCGGAAAAGCCTGGACTGCTAGCAGATTACAACAGAGAAGCCTGCTGGTCACCCGGAGCCGACCGGCAGCCCACGACCAGACCGTGAGCTGAAGGGAGACCTCCCCTATCACCTCCTCCGGAAAGCAAGCAGGGCAAAGCCCCAAACCAAGACAACGGGCCACCCTCCCGAAATGAAACTTAATTGGAAAATGACTGCAGGAATTCCAGCGATTAAAACAAATCTCTTCTGCTTCCATATGATCTGGCGCCTCAGTCCAGTCTCCGCAGCAGCACCGGGGATCACACACGTTGGGAAAATGAAACCACAAACACCTGAGTCCCACGGTGCCAGCCAGGCAAACGCCCACAGGACACTCCGGCTACTCAGAGACAATCAGGACTTGGAAGCCACTTCCACAATGCTGCCCTCCACCTCCCCAGCCCCGCTTGGTAATAGCTTCAAGACCCCATGACTTATCTATATCTATCCCACCTTTCTACAAAATCACAACAAGCTCAGAACCATTACAATTTGTAAAGACCGTCTGCCCTGGGAAGAAAGTGCGAACTAAGCCCCGAGTTTGCAAACCCAGCAAAGAGTTAAGAGTCCATGGCATGCCTCCCGAGATAAGAGATGCATTCCCGGTGGGCCTGGGCCAAAAGCTTTTCCCTTTAGATGCGTCTTGCTGCACTCCATGACATCTTATTTAACCACATCACGTGGGGCCTCGATCCTCCCCCTTACCCTGAGTGCCCCCAGCTGCCCAGAGGAAACCCTCAGCGGCCACTGCCAGGTTCATTGTGAGCAGCTGGAAACCGCCGTCCAATTCCTCTCACCAGAGTCCACAGAAAGTTTCACTCGCTCCCCAAGTTGCCCAAACTTTCTGAGAACATTCCACCAGGCTGCATGCAAACAGGCAGAGAGGTCTTCCTCTGTCCCCCAGCCAGTGACTCAAGACGCCAGAGATTATGAGGAAACGGCTGGCTTCCCACCGCGCCCCTCTCTCGCCCCCCTCTCTCCCCTCCTGTATGAATTGTAGCCAGCAGAGGCGGTGGAATTGATGTATTGCTGTCTATTTTTACACAAGCGCCGAGCAGCTCCACACACAGTCCTGCATAAACTCCATTCTCTCAGAAGCTCCAGGCTGCTCTCCGCGGAACACAGAGATTTAACTATTGGCTGCCCTGCCGCCGAGGCTAATGGAAAAGAAGGCATTTCTTCCTTCCCTTTTTTGGGGGACAAATCTTTCCACCCCCAGATTGGAGTTGTGAAGGGAAATAGCATGCATCACTGTTTCGTGTTCTGTGGGCAACGTAAACTCAGAGAAAAACCCGGCAGGAATTATAAAGGGTTTTGTGAGTTCTCTCTCTGGCGAACAGCGAGAGCTGGAGAGAGAGAGAGGAACTGGAGGTAAAAAAAAAAACAAAAAACAATCCGGGGATTGGCGTCAAAGCCAGACTGTATTTGAAAACCTTGGTTTTCACAGTTTGATGGTCATTGTCGTCTTATAAATAGAAGTGGCATTTTTCCAACCAGGCCACTAATCACGGCTGGAAAGCCTTCAGCTTCTGATTGCTATCAATCTCTTGGAGCATCAATGTTGCATAGGGCTGGCAACAGAGCCCGTGGCACATGGAAAGAGTTTCGAACTGCAGCGGACGCCAGTGGCAGCAGCCCCGCTTTGATTTGCTCAAGGCTTCTCTGAGGAGCCACCTTAAAATAGCAAACTTATTGGAGTTACGGCTGAGATCCCTTCTCAGCAACGGGCTACTGCCTGGGTGACTGTCTGCCTTCTTTCCTCCAACCCAGCCCTCCCCGCACCCCCCACCCCCACTTTCAAGAATAATCACATCCCACAGAAGCTTTAGTGTCAGTTGGTCAGTCAGTCACTGCCGGTGGCTGCAATGCCGAGCCCAGCCCAGCCCCCACCTCCCCCGCCCCCCAGGCTCACCTCGATGTCACTCCACACAGAGTCCTGGTTGCACATGTCCCACGCCATCCAGCTTCTGAATGACGCCAGTCAAGCTTGTTCAAACTCCAATCCACAGTGAGACCGAGCACACACTCCCGCAGGCGACCAGCCCCTTACTGAGAGTGAACTGAAGGCACCTGTCTTACTACAGTCCCAAGTCACATGACAAAGCTATTAAAAAGTAGGCTGGGCTGTCACTCACCCAGCCTCCCTTCTCTTGTGCAGCTTGCTGCTCAGACTCGTGACGTCACTCAAAGGCAGCCCTCTGCCTCAGTGAAGTAACGCTTAAAAAAAAAAATAGAAAGAAGAAGAAGAAAAACCGGAACACCGGGGAACGAAGAAAGAAAGAAAGAAAACACGTGGATTTTTTGAGGCTCCAAGCGTCACACTTTGATTAAAGCCAGCTTTGAACGCCACAGACTCTACACGGAGCCCTGGCCATATAATAACTCAAATCCTCGGCAATCTTGTTTTAATTTATTTTTCTTCCCCAACAAGCAAGTGGCAAAGCTCTGTTTCCTGGCAGATCAACTAGACGCCTAGCCCAAATGTCTGTCTCCCACTGCTCCAAGGACTCTGGGTTCTAAGGATCTCCAAGTGGACCCCCGGCTGGGTTTGGGCTAATGCAGGAGCTTATCACATGATGCCTTTTATGAGAGATTTTCTAATTGGGGGAGTGTGCACAAGCTGAAAATGGAGCATTGGGGGGCTTGTTTAATCAACACAACAGCCTGCCTTGGTGACGATATAAACAACCCCGTCCACCGGCCATCAGCTGTCCCGTGGCATGGGGAATACCCGACCTGTCACTGCAGTTTGCTTTTTGCTCCATATAAGGAGAACCAGGCTCAGAATCCCACCCTGCCAGGTTCCTGCTAAGGATTTCCATTCCTCCCAACAGCTCCCCAGAAAACAAGTGTTAGTAAATACAGTTGCGGCTGCTCTACCCAGAACAGCTCGTTACCAGGCTGCCTTTTGTGAAATTTTTCAAACGTAGAGCATTTCTTCGCAAACTGCCTGAGGGAGCCTTTTTGAATAAACACTGGATTCCAGCCTCACTGCCCTGGGTTAGGTAGCTTGCCTTTCCAATCAAGACCAGCCAAGGCGTGAGGGGAAAAATACCGAATTGCTCTTAAGCAGAAATATTCATGTCTTGAGCTTTTAAAAAAAATAATAATGAGCTTTTTTTCAGCATCTACCTTGAGACAATGAGGGCTAAAGCAGGCGCAAGTGTTTCATGATGACATTACATATTGGATACACAACAAACGAGGTACCAGAAGCTTGGGAAAACCAGCTCCAGGAGTGTCCTATGTACACACACACACACACACGTTTGTGACTCCAGATTTTCATAAACTTGTAAAACCAATACCATAACTCCTTCACCTGATCATCCTTTCTCTGAAATGCAAGGGAAATCCCGGGAGAACCGACACATAATGATTGAGCACTGTGTAAGTTAAAACTCCTAGTTTGCTGAAGTTTAAATGTAAATTTCACTGAGGTTAATTTAATGCTGCCTCTGATAGCCATCTCCCAAGAAAGAAGAAAATAAAAAAGCGATCTGCTAGCACATTTAAAATATAATGGAAATATCTAAGTGCAAGACGGTGGGGGGGCAGGGGGCGGGGAGGAGAACAGGAAAAACCAAAAACAACCCAACAACTTAGAGGTTGCTTTTTCCCAAACACCCATAGGATAAGAGATTTGTTCAGGCTGAAATCTGCAACAAGTTGCCAGTAAAATTCCTGAATAAGATGCAACACGCGACAGTTTGCCATTGCTGGATAGGAAACGATCGGCAAAGCTTCGACATTTTAAGTTCACCGAATGCGTTTCACCGGGGCACTTTTTTTTTCTTGGGTTATAAATAGTGGAAAATTACTGGCGCTTTCCATTTTCCAAATCAAGAAACAACAGGCCAATATAACCTGCAGAAGGCTTTTACATATGCCGCTGGTAACCTACTACCACGCACCTCAAAAAGCAACATGCCTTTTTTGTCCCGATTACATTCTGATTTAACATGAAACTTCAGTAAATTATTACAATTCAGGACAAAGGTCATTGACTGTACCTTCAACACAGTCAACTGTGAAATAATATTGGCCAAGAAGAGGTCATGCTTATTAATTATTATCAGGTGACCTCAAGCTAGGGGATCTTCTCTGATGCCGTCTTTAATTATGCTCATTGAATAAAGTCAGAAGTCTTTGTAGATACATAGATATTTTTTGTCCATATATACATATAGCCTTTTTATACTTTAAAATTTTTAACAGCTTTATTGACTTAGAATTCACATAGCATATAATTCAATAGTTTAAAGATATTAAAAAGAGTTGAGTGATCACCACTATAAGCTATTTTAAAACATGTTGTCTCTCATACTCATTATTAGATCACCATATTTACACCTTTCTTGAGAAATTCTTGATACCGAAACATTTCTTCATATTATTTTTGACATTTGGACTTGTCCAAATTGTGTTACTGTGATTTTCTTGGTGTTTTTATTTTCAGTTTTGTGGGTTTCCTTTAACCGCTAATCCTATTTATCTTAGTAAAATTTTTATTTTCTGAAACCAGAGGTGGTTTCCTACAGCTTAAAAAAAATTCATTCATTGGGCTTTTGGAGGTAAAAGAAAACAACCTCAAATGAGTTATAAACTACAGTATGTGATAATCGCCCCCTTTAGATTTGTAGCAATGTTCAAGTCAAAATTTAAATAGATTATTGGGACAAAGTTGCCTATTCTGTACGATTATGTATGCAAAGATATGTATATATATATATCTGAAAATGCCAGCTTTCCTGAGAGGAGCTATTAGAGGTCTGATAACTTGCCTAATTAACTCTTCAGATTACAAAGTCTCTGTGTCCAGTTTCTTTCCTTTGCTCGGGAGAATTAAATCGTTTGCCGCTCACCAACCTTGGTCTTCTCTGGCTCCCAGGGCAGTTTCTATATATAATTCCCTCTCTGCCTTGACTGTTTCTCTCTTGAGGCCAATGCACTCTTCCTTCTACCCCTACTTCAACTCTGCTTCCAAGATTCCAGAACTTTTGGTTTCTACCAATGTACTGAAATTTTGCTATGTGCAAAGCAATGTATGGCCAGGCCTGCCAGGAAGGCGTATGACAGGGACCCAAGGGAGCTCATGATTTCAGGGAAATGACAGCCCACGGAAATGGAGAACACTTTGAGATGAGAAAACCATATTATTTTGCTCAACAGCTAGATTGCTTTTCTGCTCCTTACAACACACCCTTTTTAGGTACAAGGTCCCTTCACTGACCACTGCAATCCACATGTGGGTCAACCTCCTTTAAACTCAACAATAGGAAGAGGTATTTATTAACATCTATTGAGTGTTATCTATTAATAATATTGCATATCTACTCGGAGCTTCTGTCCCGCCCGTGGATCCTTCTCCCTGAGTAGTTCTACTAAGGTTTGTTTCACGAGTTCTCAATGTTGGTGGAAGGTGAAGAAGCATCTATCCTGAGATTTGGTGTCAAGAGAGGGCAACAACAGCAACCACAACAAAAACACCTTCCTTAAGAGAACACTTCAGCTCTACCATAAAAATACTTGACTAAGTGGGAGGCATTTGGGTTTCTTTCCCAATCCTGCCCCAAATTAAGGGTGTTCCCCACTCCCCACAGGTTAGACTACCGCCCCATTCTAAAATATAAAAATGAACATGGTCCAACTCAAATGCCCCAAACTCTAGGAAATAGCAAAAATTTTTGCTTCTGCCATCAGTACCAGGTTGTCTGCAGGTGAAACGAGCAACTAGTATAAATATCTTTGCACAATGGTCCTTGCACATTGGATTGTAATGTAAGAATAGATTTGCAGCTGACAGTCTTCAGGGAAGAAGAGGTGATGAGGAGCTAGCGTAGGGGACCCACGAACCCCGGCCTTGCATCGATTACAACTCAGTCCCTTCACAGCTCAGAACCTCCTGTCAGGGTCATGGGTGGCCCTGCTACAATGGAGGCAAGCAAGGTTCTGTGGGAAGCTCATGCGGATCAATGAAATCCCGCTGGAAAGAACTTCCATTTTTCACATAGGAACAGTACTCACCTCCAGAAATAATAGCGCCGTTAAGACAGCCTCCCCTCCACCACCGGCTCCCACCCCCAACCCCACCAAGGCAGCTGCAAATCCAGGACAAAACTGAGAACAACAATCCTGGGCAACAGCCGGCCTTGCAGGAATTCCCAGAAAGAAAAAAAGGTCTGCCTGGAATTGCTAATATTTTAAAAGTTAATCATCGCTAACAAGCACTCAATTCCAGGTTGGTTTTCGTTCATAGAGAAGTTAATTGGTCCTTATTCCCCCCAGTTCACATGTAGGAGACAGACTGTGGGACTGTGGAACCTGTCTGAAGCTGAGGCCATGCATGACATAAAAGTCAGTAACAGGGTAGGGCACAAGGAGACCTCTAGCCTATACATGTCCTCAAAGGCCAGCTTGCTGACAAGAGAAGTCATCTGCCATGGGGAACTGAATGGAAACTGAAGCACCTTTGGGGAAACAGAACAGTCGGTAGGCAGCTTTGATGTTTCCTAACATCATTTTTAATTTAGTAAACTCGAGGCAACAGGCAACCTCAACAAACAGCTCTCCTCTCCAATCTGAACCCTTCTGCATACCAGCTCTATGGCACTGAGACAGCCTACATTTTCACATAGACCTCCAAATCTGCTCTTCGCATTTGTCATATTAAAGCTTAAAAAAAAGGTAAACATATGGAAATGAATAGAAATTACAGCCCACTGGAGTAATCTAAATACAAAGTGAGAATGATGTTTATTAAGCATGCAGCTAAAAGATAATTTTTATTCTTCATGGTTAAACTCTGATGTGGTCTGCAGGGTGAGCCTCTCCCACCATTTTCATTTGCCTGACTTGTTCCAGGTTCATTCCTCTATAATGCAGTGAACTGTTGATTATTTAGACCAGAAAGGTTCAATAGGAGCATATACTAAGGTTTTATTTTTTTCTATTTACAATATGCAAGTGATACTGAAACTCTAAACTAGCACAGTCCAATTACTAAGAAAGATCACTTTAGCCCATTGTTAGATGTTAAGGGGAGCTAGAGAAATAGAAATTATTAAATTAAAAAAAGATAGTAATCCAGTCATATACAAAG